ATATATATATATATATATATATACACATTCAGAACAAGTTAAATGTATGAACAAAGTCTTCATACTATAGAGATTACAGGAGTATCATAAACACTATTTATACATAGTTCTCTTCTTCTTGTCAAAAGTTCACTTAGGTCTATTCAATTACTATAGAATTTCAGTTGACAAGTTGAACTATCTTCTCTATATTACTATCATACTAGTATTCTGTGTGTGATTCACTTACAGTTGTGGCACAAGTCACCGTAATTTGTTTGGTATTCTTTCTTCTGAAGATCCTCTGTTCCTTTTGTCAAAGTGTACGCAGACTGATTCAATTATTTTAGATCCACGCTTTGATGGAATAAAATTATCCTTATCTTTTTTTATACTGTTAGTTTCACTCTAACATATTAAATGTTAGGCCTATCATTTTTATGGTACTTAACTTCACACAGCTATATTCTCTTTTGCTATTATTTGTCTCCTGCTTCCCGCTCATCTCACGCTATTATATATTACATAGTTGTACTCACTATATTCTCGACACCAATTAGTTATTAACAAAACCTTCTACAATCATCTACTTTTAACTCTTATTATAACAAAACTTAAAAATAATAAAGTATTCACTCACAAATATAAATTAACCACTAATATTTAAATGAAACAGTCTTTTATATCATGACACTATGTAACATATGTTAATTTATTTTACACAGTAGAGATGTCTAATCTAGAACAAGTTACATTTAATTGACTTCTTTTTACACAGTACATAGGCCTAGCCTTTTAGAAAGGGTATAATGTTTGATCTCTACGATGACATGTTAGCTAACTGCAAGTAACAAGATTTTTCTTTATTCTGTGTTCCTTTTTAATATATTTCACTTCCAATTATATAATAAACCTGGTTATATATCATTTCAGAAATATTTCTTTGGTAACCAACCCATCTCTTTTTATAAACCTGTTTGCCATTGTTGTCAAAGAAATTGTAGAAAAGCCATTATCCCACAATATACTGCAGGGGATATTGTGAGCTAGAGCACCCTTTGTCCCCCTTATAGCTACATGACAACAACTTTTTCTCTCTTCTCCCCTTTCCAATCTTTTGAGTTCACACATGTGAGAAGTTTTGCATTTTAAGGTTTTCTTCAAAAAAACATTTTTATATTATCTATATTAAAGATATACTAAAATCCCTTTACAAGGTACGTAAAAAATATATAGCTAGTATTTTAAATATATCTTTTGTAAACTAGTTTAAAAGTTCTTTTGTTACACACACACACACACATATGGAAAATATTGTATGTATCTAGCATGAGCAATTGTACATACATGTGGATTATATGTATACAGAAGTTGAGTACACTATATTAAAACAGTTATGGAGCCTCACCACATATTTACAGTCTATGTCACCATGCCTGATCATGCACTAACTGAGAACCATGCATCTTGACAATAGTCCTACAGTGTAATTTCCATTTCAAAATGTTCTGTCATCAAGCTTCAAAGCACACCACTCCTACTGCTGGCTTTCCATACTTCATCTTCTGTACAAGGATGATGACAGATTTTCAGCACCAATTTCAACAATCAGATTGCACAGAAATCAACAGGCATTGCATCCGGCATACTTGAATAGTATGGATTTATGAGGAATAGCATGAACACCTGTTTCATTCTCCAGCTGCTTGAGATATGTATCAATTGAAGATATGTCATGGAAGCAACTTGTGTAGATTTGATTTTTCCAGATCGTGATCTTTCTTATGTTACATACTTTTTCTTAGAGCACATGGACAGCTGTTTTTTGTTCATGGATTCTCACCTGTTACAACACAATTTACTTGCCACAGCTAGAACAAAATTTGTTGTAGATCTCTTTCTGGATGGTTTTGATACCCCCCCCCCAATGTTTATCAGTATTCTTTTATTTTCAAATGCTAATACGTACAAGGGATAACCTTATCTTGGAAATTCATAATCCCCAATCTGAACACATCTTTATGATCTGAGTGAATGAATACTTTGCATAAGAAAAAGCTGTTACAAAATTACACTCCACATTTTTCTGTAGCATCAAACTACCTATAAAATAAAATGCTGTATAATTTCATAATGTAGTTCTGATACACACCATTATGCCCATAGTGACTATATATAAGTACTAGTTGTCACGACCAATTTGATTTGCATATTCAAAATTGTTTCAGTATAACATATTCAACCTCTGTATGTTCAGATATTTACTTATTTTAAATACTTCCATACTCCATAAAAAGTCTGCACTTTAATACATGTATGTGCACATATATATATATTAGATCATCAAGAAATTAATGTTGCGTTTTGAAACACTTTCCATTAACCACTCCCAAAAAAACGTACATCACATATAATAGTTAAATAAACCAAATAAATGTCACATTAGTTTGTAAAGCTTAGTATACTCTAATCCCTTATAGTGATGGCACACACATTCAGCATGTAATGCTGTTTGAATACAAGAAGGGAAACAATTCTTCTGTAGCCACAAAGCAAAGACGTTTATGGAAATATTCGTAAGTGTCAATGATGGTTCAGCAAATTTTGTTCAGGTGA